CAAACATGCGAAGAAGGCACGTCTGCACATTAAATAAGAGAGGGTGCATGGATCAGGCCACGAACGACAACGCCGGAGTCGTCTTTGGAAAGACTCCGGGGCTGCTGATATTGCTGGGGTCTCGACACGGCCACAGCAACTGCCCGGCATGTTGGAGCTGCCAGCCTCAAAGCTGGTTTCTTGATGGTTCCGGATGTCAACCTCTTGACCTTAAAGGAATTCCAGCTGTGATGTATGTCGGTCTTCACGCGGCCGCGGGGCCTTGCAGCTGTTCCCGCTCATCTGCAGACTTCCGCAGTTGCCGCTGCAACCTCCCATGCGCTGTCCGCAGCCACCGCAGCCACCTCCGCAACCCCCAGAACCTCCACAGCCGCAACCCATAGCCATCATAGCCATGCCAGGATTGGGAAGGCTCGGCTCGGTAGGCACACTTCCTTTGCCTCCCTTACCCTTGCCACCCTTTCCTGCGCCTTTTTTCTGAGGGGGCTTGCGTGCTCCTGTGCCGCCAGTGACCTGGTGCGCCTTCATTCTCCCGCTTCTCTTGTCAACCACCTCGCTGTACTGCACATGATCCCCCTCATTCAGCGGGGCGTCGATCACATCGCTGCCTCATCAAAAATGCTTTCAGGCTTAAGAAGCAGAACGCCAAACAGCCATTTCCCAATGCTCAAACCACACTGTGCAAGATAAGCCACGATGGACGAAGAGGTCATTGCCACCACCATTCTGCTTGATGAAGCCAAAACCTTTCTCATCGTGGAAGAACCTCAGAAATCTGCCGATGAGCCCGATGAGACACGATTCCACCCCTAACACAAGGTCTTCATGGCGAGATGAGGAACTTGACCACGCCGGACTTGATGCCACAGCCACCCGGCATGGGTGCGGCCTTTCCTGGCGAGTGATGAAGACAAATTGCCCTGGATCTGCGCCTAGGGCAAACTGACAAAGTTACGCCATGCCGAGGAAGCCTGCGCCAAGGCCGCAGCCCCCACCTCGGCCGGGATAAGTGCTATACGCGCGTACACACATAATCGGTCATAGGTATACTCTCATGGGGAAAGAAACATAGATAGATAGGCAAATAGATTATAGGTTGATGGATGGACAGAAAGATCAGCATAGGATAACATGGAACAGATGATATCTATATCTGTATTGTTTATATCTACGCTACATTTGCTTGCTTGTTCATCTAAAAACATACCTGAGGCAGACGCCTAGCATCAAGCCGCAAGGAGCCGGGCTGCCCCAAGGGCTGCAGCCGCAGCCACCGGGAACCGGTCCGGCAACAAAGCCTCTGTTCAGAGGTTGCGGGCTTGAGGATATGTGCGACAGAACCCACCAAAGACTGTCCTGGAAGCTGCTTTTTTCAAAGACTTACACTTGTGCTAAAGGCACACGAATTCAGTGATAGACTCAGAAACCTCTTCGAGACAGTGGCCTCCTCCCTTGCCCTTGTTGCCTGTCTTGCCCTTTCCTCCCTTGCCACCTGTGGCACTAAGGAGATCAAACGAGACGTAACTGAAAGATTGACTCTGTGCATGCCACATGTCCACCTTGTTTTCCGTCTCTCGGATCTCCTTTGCCACCTGCAGACCCATGGCACTCGGGATCGGGGATTAGGGCCTCAGGCACTTGAACAGGATGCCTGGTGCAGGTCCAGATCCTCCGGCGACGCGGAAAGCCTTGGGTTTGCCCGTGCGCTCGTTCAGGCCTTCGTCGAAAGTGACCTCGCACTGCTTTGATACTTAGCAAGAATGAACATCTTGCGTTTCATAACCCCTTGAGGTTGATGTTACAACACACATGAAACATGATTCCCAAGCGACACAAGCGCCAGGGCAAGCAAGCAAAGCACCACCTGCCTTGTCTCCCTCCTGCAGTGTTCCACCAATAACATCCGTGCACCGAACGAATAGGTCCTCGCAAGCAGACTGGAGATACTTCCGCAACAAACCGCGCAGAGCATGCTGGCACTTGCAGCAACGCGGAACAGGTCCGTGCGGGATCCAGTTGGAACGATGAATCCGAAGCCCTGCAGGCACACTTGTGTGGGGAGTCGTGATGCGTGCTCTGTTGCACTGGGCACGGCAGGCCTTTGCATTGTCATACTTCTTCACAACACCGGTCAAGGCCATGATGCTAGAAAACACAAGCTGATTCCAGCGAGCCAGCTGTCTCACACGCGAGCGAACAATGCATCGCGATTGCTGGATGCTTTTTCACTTGCACTAACAATTTGGAACCTATCGCCTCTTGGTCCTCGCTTGAGTATCTGCACACCAAGGCACGTACACATCCATCTCCTTTTTGCGACGCTTCGCGCGAAGCCGGGGCACGGCCCGTCGGGACCGGAAGGGAATCCCATCCCAGGCATCCCGGGCGTGCTATTTTCTTTTGGGCCATCCCAGGGAGCTCTTCGAAAGTATCCGGCTTGACGACGAAGATGAGAATTGCACGATGCTTGCGCTGGCCTTTATGGCCATGGCCCATGGCTGCTACTGCTACTGCTTGAGACCCCATTAATTATATACTGTTCTATTCCTGCTCAATCGTGGTATATTTGTCGCTCCGGCTTTGTCAGCGCCGCTGCTGCTGTTCCTGTTGTCTGAATTCCATTCAGATGCCACATTGCCCTTTATCAATCTACTTGGAAACGAGGTCAAACAAGGCTGGATGCCTGTGCGCAGCACTGTGATGAGTTTGCAGGTTGGTGTGGCGAGAGGGGTGGTCGCCGCGCCGAGCTGGCGCCACAGGAAACACCTCAATATCTGGGCAAGTACCTCCCCCACTGATTTGATGAACTGAGATGAATTGCCACATCTCTTTCTTGCAGTTGGTGCTTGGGCTTAGTCTAAGCCAACTGAATGACAATGTGCATGTTGCCACCTCATGCCACCAGTTTTCAATGCCTGTGTGCTTTAGCCTCTTACCGCTGGGTCGTAACAAGTTGTGAGAAGCTGCAGGGAGATTTTTCCAGAGCTGCAGCTGCTTCAGGGAAGTCCGGAACAAATTGGTGGGACTGCGTTTGCAAGCGGGATGGCCACGTCGTCGTTGTAGTGTCGCCGCAGTTTGGACGGCAGCAGGCATAGATGCCGTTGCGGTGGCAGGAGCAGGATTCGCACTGCGAGCCTTCGTCGTAGCGGTAGTGAGGTGACAGCTCCCCGCCCTCCGCTTCGATACTGCAAGGCGAGAGCCTGTCAATTTCCCACTACCTGTAGCGGTGTGTCAGTCTGCGAAGGCCCATCATGGGAGCTGGAGGAGCATGATTGAATGATGCCGTGTTGCAGCTCTGTCTGTTTCTACGCAGATAAACACTTGCAAACGACGACAGAGTTGTGCACTTGGATATCGGAGGTTCCAGTCGCATGACTACCATCTCCGCTTTCATGACTTTGGGTTGGATGTACCGGTACTTCAGAACAACCCCCGAATTGGCCTGGGGCCCTAGGCGTTTCCTAGGTCGCTTGCTTGCCTTTGGCAGGCAACTTGCAAGTTAAACTGCCTCCCACTGCGAGTATTATGGAGAACAGAGGCTCCAAGAGAGACGTTTTTCAAAGCATTTCGGTAACTGAGGAGAATGAAAGCTTGCCAGCTCAGCCGGAGAGGCAGTAGACCTGGCAGGGGCAAAACCCAAAAGCCAGAAAAGGCGGAGAGGAGAGTGCACGAGTGCGCGGCAGGCGCGCCTGCATGATCCCCACGATTGCCCCAAGGATTCCCCCAAGGAGGATCAAGATCCACTCCTCAGCACACGCATAGCCTCATAGCCTCCCAAGGAGAGCGCCTCTGAGGAGTCCAGATGCCCACGGCCTTCTTTGGCCCCGGCATCCTCCTGAAAGACGGGGTGGAGCAGATTTTCGAACTCGTCGGCCGGCCTTCGGCTCAGTTGCTCGTCGCGTTTCGCCAGTTTTTTTTGCACGCTGGCACGGCACGGGGCCCCCGCATGCGCTGGAGACACTCCCTGTTTCGAGCTTCGATGTCCGTCACCTTCGAGATGTACTGGGCGGACACCTCCGACGGACACAGAGTGAAAGTGAGAGTGAGAGACGGAGACACGTGCTTTCCAGCTCCCAGGTTCGACTGTTCAGACCAACCTTCGGGAACCCTGACTCATGCCTTGGGTATGAGTTGTACGACAGCTATGATGGCTCTGATTCAACAGTCCATGGACAATCCTGTCCTTCCTTGCAAGGCCCTGACGGAAAATGTGCGTGACGACCTGTGACATCTGCCCCCAGGATGGCTACGGTAGCTGGGGCCTTTCAAGTCTACTCTGCAAGGTAAGTGGAAAAAGGGATTAGGGCTGAAATTAGTGTTACAGGAGCAGTGGTGGTAGCAGTGGTAGTAGTGTTGATAAAAATCATGACATTGCGAATTAGAGGAATCAAGGGATTCTGCTTTCATGGCTGGAGACAGCAGGACGCTCCGGTGGATGCATGCATGCCTTCAGACGCAGTCAGGACCAGCAAGGATACGAAATCAAGGCCGCATGATACTACAATGCAGACGCAGAGACGAACCCGCTGCATGTGTAATGCATGAAGCTTTCCAGGGTCAATCAAGCTTGTTCGAAAGAAGACGAATATATGAATATATATATATATACATATATGCATATGATCATCACGCTCTCAAACACTGAGCTGTAGTCCACCGTGTGCCGTGTGCCCGGCAAGCAAAAGTATGGCCGAATTCACGACATTGTAAACATACATTATAAGTCATTCTCTCCTTTGCAACAGTCGGCCGAGGATCTTCCCGGAACTGGGGCCTTGTGAAGACGATGCGCGCGGTAGAGGCCGTCGACCATGGCTACCTCTCTGCAGAAGAGGCAGCAATAACTCAGACTCTCAGACTCTCAACACTCCCCGCTAATCCCGTGAAGGTCCGGGCCTTGAGGTCCTCTTCCAAGTCCCTGTACCTCAGGCTCAGAACACAAACAAAAACGGCGAAGGGAACGAGGCGCACCAGCCCGGCTCTTTAGGCCGGTGCCCCTCTTAGCCGATGGTCCACTGCGCGAACCAGGTGGCTGAGCCTGGCCAAAGGCCCATGAATCCCTAAAGGAGGCAAGGGCCCGTCACCCTCATATGACCTGGTCGCGCGCTCGGCGCGATGATCATTGCTGATGATGATGACGATGATTAGGTGGAGGCGACGACGAGTATATCTGCAGCTCAAGATCCTACTGTACTGGGTAAGCTGCGGCCGCTAAAGCGGTCGCTCTCATCTAGTTGCGACGATGGTTGCTGTTGTCGTCGTCCTGGTCGTCGGCATGATCGTCGTAGGCAGTGGTAGCAGCGATGCTCCTAAAGAACTTGAACGACAAAGCCCTCAGCCCTAATCCCTAGCACCCGAATATACCCTACCATGCCAATCCCTAAACTCTTCAAGCCCCACAAGGTGAAAACCTCAATGCACCTGAACTGTAAATCCTCAAGGTGCTGCAGAGGTCTTGTCAGTGCGTGGGGCCCGCCTAGGGTCTCCCGAAGCACGGCCGTGGAGTGTGCCACATACGCTGCCTTCAGCTTCTCCCAAAGCCTCAGGGTAGCTTGTCGTTCAAGCTGCTTTGCTTTGCTGGCTCTGGGCGTTGTCTCCGACACGGAATCTGCACAACCCAGACTTCAGGACAGCACTCAGGGAGCGTCTGCAGATAGCCTCGGGATCGAAAGCGTGGCCCGGGTTTGACTTTCCCCATGCGGCCAAGCTGCCGATGATCTTGTTGAAGGAGAGGAAGTTCTCCTGCACCCCTGGACAGAGGGATGCAGTATTCGGTAGCACCTTAGCACTCCTGACTCGCAAGGAACAACAAATCCGAACAGCTCTCCTTCAACATCTTGGCATAGAGCACGCAGACCTCCTGGAGCGAGGCGCTGTGTGTCTCCAAGCGACCCCTCGAGTCTTCGAGCGATCCGAGGATGGCGCAGGCTGTCGCTTCAGGAAGAGACCCTGAGATCAGCACACGCCTGCTGCGGCTCTACGACTCTGATGCCAGGGCCTGGATGTTGCAGATGTGCCAGCCACAGATCCTGCGAGCTCCAAGCGATCCAATCTCACATTCCCAAACCCCTCGCCTCTCTTCTCTCTCTTCTCTGTCCGGATGGGTGTTGGGAAGCAAGGCTTGAAGACCAGGAGGATGGCCAGCCTGGACAATCTCAGAGTCGCAGAGCGCTCTGCGACTTCACCTGTAGCCTCTGAGGGAGGAACCAGTTCGTCACAATGCCCAGCAAGAAGCCTCCAAAAGAGCAACAGCGTCTCAGGCTCTGGATTGGCCCAGGGCCCTTCCGTGCTGTGGACCGACGGTAAAAGTAAGGAGCTATGCAAAGAAGTCCTGGTCTGGAGAACAGCAAACCTCTCAACATCACTGAAGTTACGACCTGTGGCCGGGAGGAAGATTGCGCGGCCCTCGTCAGAAAGATTGTTGAAGGCTATGAGCTGCAGGAGGCCACCTGGAGAGTCATTCATGTGCCATCTACATCTCGACGATGCAGGCGCTGCATCAACTTGCAGAATAGTTCTCGGCAAAATGCAAATACTCACCCACCGGTCCCCGAAATGGAGAGACCCCATAAGGGCCAGGCCGGAGCGCTCAGCCCAATCACGCTGATGATGGGCCCTGACGCGGTCGTCATGCTGTCATCCCAGATAGACGCCCGTGCATCCGAGAAGGATTATTGACAGAAGGGTGTAAGAATCCAAGATCCGGGCGAACACCAAGACGAAGAAGCCATGCCCAGGGTTCTGCGACAAAAGGCTACTTTGGCGGGGAGGAGTTCGATCTAGGGGGATACAAGTACGGCATATTTTGCCCCCTCGACATGCCGTCTGTCCGTCCGCAGGTCGCTGTCTCGATCTCGCTCTCGTTCTTTCCGGTCTCTCTTGCTGCAAACAAGCAATAGGAATTCAGGCGCCAAACATCCGGTCTCCTTCTGCAAGGAGAAAGCAGCCAGGCGAAGGCTATTTCTGGAAGACAGCCTGGCCGTTGCGGATGCTCCAAGTTCTCAGCGTCTCTCGATTCTGCACGATCCACGAAAGAGCTGAGGTCGCGGCACACGTGCACGATGTGTGCTCATGCTTTTTGTGTTTTTTTCTAATTTTTTTCTGTTTCTTGCTCTCATCCAGCGGCATTGGCCGCTGATCTTCCTCCGCCAAATCAGGCAGTTGGCAGGCATCAAGGAGCTGCTCGGGCCTGCCGAAAAAAAGCGGTGAATACTGCACCCTTCGAACCCCGGAAGACTCACATCTAAAGAAACAAAAGCTAGCGACGCTGTGTGAGATCGGTTCGGCCTTCGTTGGGCCCTGCGTCCCTGAGACCTGGTCGAGCTCATTCGAATGCTTTGCACGCAGCATATCAGGCGAATCACAGAACAATATGCGTAATTACAGGTCGTCCACAGTGGCCCAGCCTTTTCGTATGCTCGTTGCCGAATTCGGTGCCACCTGGTTACAGCGTGCTAGCAGTTAGTTAACAGTTGCAGAAATGCGGACAACTACACCGATCATCCCACCACTGTCCGAAAAGGCCATCCATGAACGGATTGAGCCCATGAATTTCATGTCGGATCTTCTCTTTTGAACGTACAGAAGGCAGACGAGCCCCCTCAGAGCCGCACATGTTCGACAGGAGTCGGGTCCATTGCCCCTACCAGGTTGGATTTTTAGGCAGGCGCATGTTGGCTGAGCACTGGCAGCGACCTCCTCCACAATTCAAACGTCCAGATAGGTCCTGGTCATACTATCTAGTTGCGGACAGGCGACACGGATAGGTGTGCGCATGGAGGGCGGACAGGGTCTACGAAAAGGGCCGTATCCCAAGACCGATAGGCTAGACACAGGGGTTTCTGGACGCCTATCATGGATAACTACTTGTCATGATGCTCTTCCATTCACAGACACGCACACATATACACACACATACAGATGCAAGTACACATTGTGCACAACATATGCATGTACATCTATCTATCTATCTATCTATCTATCTATTGGGTTCAACATTACATATAAGAATAATTACATGTGCCTGGTATGTGTATGTGTACATGTACATGAACATGTACATACTATACATATACACATACATAAACGTATACATGCATATACACACATACACTTACACATACGCACACAAATGCACATGCATATACATATACGCATGTATGTGAATCTACAAAGATGTATGTGTCTCTTTCTCTATCTCTCTGTCGTTCTGTCTCTCCACCTCTCCATCTCTGTCTCTAACTCTCTTCTTCTACCTTCACTGGAGCAGTGGGAATCCAAGGGCCAACATCCCGGTCCTTCTCGAGCGCGAAGGCCGCTGGAAGACGTTAATGGCAATCTTTTTGTATAGTTTTTTCTAACAATTTTTTGTGACTGTCCATACCAGGCAATGCCCAGCAGCGTTGGCTGCTCACTCTTCATCCTGAATGCAACAAAGCCGCGCATTCTTCACATGCTGTTCCAGCACGCGTGCAAGCTGGAGGCCTGGCCTGTACGAAGTCGGGGCCTGAAAATCAGCTCAGACCATGTCGCTTGTAAAGAGTTCACGAAATCCCACGGCCTCTCACTCGACCCCCCAGTAGCCGCGTTCCATGCCTCGGCACTTGGATTCCTATCGCTAAGGACCTCCACGGACTCAGCACACACTCATCCATGAAAGCTGGGAGCTTTTTCCAAGGATGCACGCGGGTAGATTTGGAGTTTCAAGTTTAAACTTCTTCCAAGACAGTTCTGCGATGTGCTTGGAGCTGTGGCGTTTGTAACGGAAAACAAGGTTTCACGAGCCGGCGAAATGTGTTAGTTACGAGTAGTTTGCACTACTGTCACTGTTCGTGAGCCAGTGAGATTCTCATAGATTTCCAGTCAGGAAACGAAGATTTCATGAGCCGATGTTTGTAAGTCATGACCTTCGTTGATCTTCAGAGCTCAAGACAGGACTTTCTTTGCTCCTCAGTGCTGGCTTTATACCGGCATCCAGGTTTACGTAAGCCGGCTAATTTCCGTGCCGTCCTACTTCCACTAGTCACAGTTGACCTAGCTACTACAGGAACCGACGCATTCACAAACCGGCTGCTGGACTGTCCTAGAGCTTCCGTGCTAATACAGGAAACGCAAGATTCATGAGCCGGCGGAGGGACTGTTCTGCAATTATGAGCTTGTGCGCGTACTGGAATCGCTTTTTGTTTTTTTTATGAGCCAGCAATTAGGTTTTCGTGGATTTCCACGTCTGTTTTCCCTGACTAATTTGCTTTTGCGAGGCCGGTGGATGGC